TGCATACGAAAAAGAGATCAAAAATTTAGAGGAGGCCTTTACAGCAACCAAAAAGATCTTTCATTTTTTTTAGCATGATTTGGTGAACAAGGGATTAGGGTGCCAATGGGCCACAACTATAGTCCTTAGTTACTATAGGTTTAGTTTGCATATGGAAACCCACTGGACCAGGCCTTATTTTTATGCCTAGTTGTAGAAATGGGTGAGGCTCAAGTCTTGTTTGTTAGATTGTTCAGCAAGGGTGGCTTTCCAAAATATATGTTTGCGCACTGCCTTCTTGAAACTCGTCTTGAAGTTTTCAGCCATGTGGGGCATACAATACCCCTGCTCACAAATACCCGTTCAATTTCATTTTGCAACCCTTTTTAGGAATCTGAGATAATATTTATTACCAACAAATTAAGCCACTCGTCAAATTGTTCATTAAGAATGTCTAGAAACCAAAGCCACCCATCAATATTTTCATTTTCAACCACTGTAGATCCTAAGGAAAATATATTGTCATTCGCATTTACTCCAACTGCTCACAACTATATCCCTTGGTATCTCCCCTTTAAAAACATCTCATCTAACCCTATTAGTGGCCTGTGCCCATACATGAAACCATGACTACATAAGACGGAATCCCACAAACATACGTCGGAATCTATTCCAATCATTCTTTTGAATGAGCATTTCAATTCCAAAATTAGTGGCTCGAATCTTATACAGGCAGTGGGGAAATCAAAATATGCCTCCACATTCGAACCATCATTTATCTCATCAACCTCTTTGCCCTGTCATGGTTGTTGGTATGAACATTACAATTCCAACAGGTTTGTCTGAGCCTACCCAAAACTATGCCTTTGCCCTGCACTTATGCAGCTGCTGATAGGCTGGATTAGGCTTCAAACTAGCCCAAGTTTTCGTAACTAGGCCCAGGTGTAGACTTTTTAAGCCAAGCCATGGGTGAACCTAGCCCTTAATCTAATAGGACTCGCCGAACCCAGCATGGAAGCCTGTGGGGTAGCCCTAGTTAAGTCTAGCCTTGGCCCAACCTCAACCCAGCTCCACCATTAGGTTTTAGCGTGTAATCTTCCTCAGTTTTATAATTTGTTAATACAATTTATTTCAATCACACCCATGTAGTCACGAGTCACAACTATATGTATGCACATACTTACCATCCTTAGACTACTATATCCTACTTACAATCATGGGGGGGATCCTCACTCTGCTGTACTTAACTACATAAATCTCCCATTTTCACATGTCTATAGCACACAATATCTAATCATTTTTGTCGTAGATTATTGAAACTGAAACTGCATTTTTATTACCTCCATATAAGACCCTCAAAATCTATTGGACATGAGTATACATGGCATGAGTTTGAATATTTTTCTCAAGTAACCAAGCTGTCCTGGATAGGATCCGGAACAAATCAATCAAACTATGAACATTGATATTCCACTTTTTCTGGCTTTTTGTTATTGTGGCACACTACAGAAAAACATGATGTTCCTCCAAATAGAAAATAAGGGTAGAACTGAAAACTTTTTGTCATCCTTCTCCTTTTCTCATTGGCCGGCCGGTTCATGCGCAGGTCCAAGCCAAGAAATTCCGGATCAGGTTAGGTTTCAGCCATTCTGCCAATGACCGGCTCCGGTCCGGCCCACCTATAGCCCTTGATATTCCTATAGGTATGCCCCCTCCCCCCTCTCGTTGACTCAAAACACAAATTGTCTTACAAATATGTCCTCCCAAACTCAACAAGAAAGCATTTTCGTATATTTGGTTGAGTTTTGGTAAAGCCCCATCTCAAAACCCACATGTGGATCTAGGAAATTTTGTGTTGACTTTCAAATCTATTTCAGTCACTAACAAGAATGAAAATTTATGTTGACCTACAAATCTATTTCATTCCCTAACAAGAATTTAAAGTTTCAAAATTAATGCAAATCTGACATATATGTGAACGCTTAAAATAAATAGTTATTATGAAATGGATCATTTTAAGGTTTAATTTCATTGTCTAGATTCATAATTCTCTACCAAGGTAAAAACTATGAAATGTGACAAAAAATGAAATGTAAAAGAAAAGAAAATGATAAGTCACACTGGGGATTTAGGCCCCATCCTTTGGTGAAAATCGAGTCCGAGAGTTCATCATGAAGCTCGGTAGGACTACTGTTTGGTGAAAAATGAAATCTAATTGAAGCCATACCGGTGTTCAAAAAATCGAACTTGCCTCAGATAGTGGCCAAGGTCTAGGTCCGGGTAACCGATAAACCGGCTGGTTGAACCGCCCCAGTCCGGTAAGTCCCAACCAGTTCAAAAAGTGTTAAAGAAAAAAACCAAAAAAATCCAAAAAATTATGAAAAATATATCTAAGCATGGTTAAGCCAAGCACACCCAAATGAAGCTGAAAAAAGTAGTGAAAAAAATTGGATCTTAAAAAAATTGATTTGTGCCTGGGGGTATTTTTTAAAATGCTTTAACAAGATATGGAAAAAATAGTCACGGCCAAAACACTTTACAATCCTTGCCAAAATAATAAAAAGACATTCAAGAGCACATTACAAACAAATTCTTTATTTTTATGAATTTATATTTTTTAAAATTTTTTTTAAAATACTTGGCTAGACCACCAAAACTGGCCAAAATCGAATTGGCGAGTGCCTGGTTCCAATTTGACCAGCAGGTTTTGAGTTGGACAGGCTAATTTTGCAAAACATTGAGTCATACTCTACTATTTCTATAAACTACGTCTTGAACCAAACAATTATTATTATTATTTTATTTTTATGTTTTTGAATAAGTGGGGATATCGGACCCCTACCCGTTTTATTAAAAATTGTTAAAGGCGAAGAAGGAACAATGATTCCACACCCAAGAAACTGCACTTTAATTTCCATAAAGAAAGTGGCCATAGATCATGATAAGGCACAAGATCATGGAAGAATCCAAGAAAACGCGTTCAGTTAAGCACCAACTGGTGCATTAGAGATGTGGACTTTCCCATCTCCTTTTCTTTAATTTAAACAAAGACTTTTAGGGAAAGAGACTTCGACTCCCAAGACAACCACCATTGTTATCCATACATCTCATCTGCTTCCACTTCTCTTAAGAAATACCGCACACAGCTGGATCCAATAGTCTTTGAAAGTGGTCACATTTTTTGCCACCCCGTTTTGATATACAAATCATATGGATGGCTCCCAAGTTTGACTTCACCCCAAATTATGGTATCTTTTTCTCCAAATTTGATTGTGTGAATATTTTTTTTTTTTAACAAAGTGTCAACCTTATACTATAGAAGCGATGCATACTCGTATACTGCATCACAAAAAAGTTGTTTTTTATGTTAGAAAACTCTACAATTATTTATCGAGGCTTCAAGATTTATGGATACGAAAAAAAATAAATCTTAATTAGATTTTGTTAGGGTATTCCTATACATAATGTACTCAACATTTTTTGACACTATTACTTTTACTTTATAATGTGGTATTTTTTTGTCTAAAAGTATTTAGGTAATTAAGCAAGGGTAAAATAGAAATTCTCGATAGACAGAAAAATATTTATTGACTATAGTAGAAAATGACATCATCCACCTTGAGGTGTAATATCACTCACATGGAGTACTAATTGTTTTTAACCACAAATAGAATGCCACTAATATCTTATAAAAAAAATCTATTCAACCCCTCTTAATTACCAAAAATGTGCTTACATAAAAATTTTTGTATTACAAAGCAAGGAAGTGAGTGTAAAAAATATGGAGTACATTAAAGAAATACTCATGTGTTGGAGTATCATAACAAAGGCCTAATTAAAAATAGTCCATTTTGTAGCATATTAGCTAGACTGTCCATTTCCAAGATATTTAAGTATTTATAGATATGTTTGATTTGCATAATTTTTAGATATTTAAATTTCTTAATTAGGGGATAAAATAGATTTTCAAGCCACATTAAGAGTTTCCGACACTAGAACGGTATCTTTCACCATTGTTTAAAGATGCGGTTTATTTAGGTTGTTAATGGTAGGCACCTTATGTAAATCACATTGTTTTCCTTAAGCTATTTTCTCAATCTAGTTTAAATTGAATTTATTATAAATAACCAATTTCCTTTAGGAAAAAGTCTATATAAGGCGTCACCATTACACTATTGAAGTATGGCACATCTCAAAAACCTACCAAAAAAGGTCTTTCAAAACTAAAAGACCTTCAAATTGATCATCTCAATCTTTAGATATGTGGATATGAAATTCACAAAAATAGTACATTCTATAATACATTATCGAAACCATTTATTTTCAAAAATTTTGGTAAAAATTTTAGATTTCATAATTAAGGGGGATAACATATTTTTATACAATAGTAAGCACAAAATCTACATCTTCCAATAGAGGTTTAAGGTGTGCCTTACTTGGTACAAGATTGGTGCCTTATGCTTGCTTCACCCTTTTCTTTATGAGAACCTGAGGCCCTTGTGCCGTTCACATAATTGGACAACGACAGATGCGTTGACATGGTTTCAGCCACACGAGGCCACTTGCGGCCCCGCCTGTAGCAAATACTTTCTCCTACTTGTTTTTTGGCGCACTAAGTACCCATAATTTCAACTTGGACCACATCCCTAAAAGGAGAAATTTGTATAAGGTTGCAACGTTAAACAGTGGAGAAATGTGCATCTCAAAAATCCTACGGTGGAGAATCTTTCGACATACGAGAACCCTCCAACTGATCATTTTGACCTTGATATGAATGGACACGAAAGAAAAAAAGAATTTCAAATTCAAAAAATAGTACATCCGGTAAAACATTATCTAAACCGTTTGTTTTCAAGAATTTCAAGTGTTTATTGATTTGCTCAATCTGTACCATTTTTTAAATTTTAAATTTTTTAACTGAAGATAAAAGATATTTTGAAGTCATCATAAGACTTTCAACGTTAAAACAACATCTCTAAGTAAATTTTATAAGTGCACCTGACTTCTACAAGAGGCAACCTTATACAAACGCTACCCATCACTAAAAGCATTATAGAAAGTCTTCCTTTTTCTATGCTCATGAAGCATTATAAGTTTAAGAGTTACACCATGCGTTAGAGAGAGAGAGAGACCCACTAGATTTTAAGAGAGAGACAGACTACTAGATTGTGAGAGAGAGAGATGGATTTGGGATGGCAGAAGGTTAAGATGGTGAGCTTGGTGGTGGTGAGCTTGTTGCTTGTTCTGAACAACGCGGCCCTGTGCATGGGTGCCAACAATGGACGCGAGAGCCCCCGGTGCCAAAGGCAAGTGAGCGGTTTGGTGAACAGTTGCAAAGGTGTGCTGAGCATGAAGGCCACCTCTCCCACTTGTTGTGATTGGATAAGGTCTGTGGACTTGGCGACCTGCATTTGCCCTAAGGTCACCCCCCAAATCGCTTCCATCGTTCAAGTGAAGCAGGTGGTGAGGGTGCTCAAGGGCTGTGGAAGAAGGACGCCTCGCAATTTCCGTTGCGGAAGTGAGTCATCCCTCTGTCCAGTGTTTTATAATATGGAATCGGACCTTGAATTGTCAGAGCCGATTCTGTAATGCCCAGTCTAACTCGATTTTATTATTATTTTATTTTTTTTATTTTTATTTTTATTTTTATTTTATTTTTATTTTTTTTTAAATAGTACGCTGTAGATAAGATCTTCTATTTATAATAAAAATAAAACTCAAGACGACATGTCATGGAGACCCACCTTGACTTACTAGCCTCAATTCCATTCCTACAAATGCCCCATTGTGACCTTACTTGTTAACAAAATCCCCCAAAATCTGCTCAAAAAGAAAATTTGTTTTCTTGGCTTGTAACTTGTTTTTTAATAACTTTTTTTAGTGCAGTTGTAGGGCCTTCCCAACAGATACTAAACACCGTAATATTGCAGTTGTTAATTTAAAATTATTTTTTCCAATACACTTGAGGTATTCACACACTAAATGGGGAAAATATAAATAAGGTGTGCTAATTTCAAAACAAGAGCTGTTGCAATGTCTGCTATTTTGCAAAATAGTGTTTTTATGTTTTAGAAAAGGGCGTGGTTTCTATAAGGTTGCAACCTTAAGCAATCCAATTAAGGCGCACCACTAAATTCTATCATAACATAATTTTGGTGTAAAAATTTTTAGGATTATCTTAAAATTTATTTTCATATGTAATTATAAAATTTCAAATTTCGAAAGTGGTTAACATCAAGTGCATCTATAAACATATGAAAATCCTGAAAATGGACAGTCTATGTAATGTGTTGCACGATACATTATTTTTAAGACTCAATTTTTTTTTTTTTTCCATATTCATATATCTCGATGTTGAGACGATCAATTAGAGGAATTTTCAACACTAAAACAACATTTTCCAATGGAGTTTTGAGGTGCATCTGTAATTCTACAATTTATGATTGCAACCTTATATAAACTTTTTCCTTTAGAAAATACATAAAGATGGTGAAAATCCTTTATTTTCCTTTCTACCACTATTTTCCTTTTCTTTTCTACAAATTTTTCCCCTTTATCAAGACTTGTAAAAAGTTATATTAGATAGTGGTGAAGAAATTATCACCAATATACAGAATGACCTCAATGTTGGAGCCTAACTCCCTCCATCACCATCCATCAGTGAATGAATGGTAATGATCCAAAGGATGATACATTTCCATAGCTGTAATTTTTTCCATATGGTTTCCCTAATCTTAAGTGGTGGTTTTCCTTTGATTATTAATGTGGTAGTTTTGGTTATCAAAGCAGTATTTGGTTTGCATTTTGCAGGTATCGTGATTCCCTAATCAACTAACATTCACAGATGCATCACTCAGTGTGCCATGAATGCAGATCCAGTGATTGCTTAGCCGTTGAAGATGCAACACTGCTTCTCAAGTTTTATTCCACCAAAAAAAAAACAAAAAAACAAAAAAAAAAAGACCAGAAATTAAGTTTGTGTCATAGGCTTTCAATAAGTGTTGTTGCTTGGGACTTGGGTGCTCGTTTCTAAAAGCTATGTGACTTCAGTTATTTCATATGTTGTATTGAAAGTGTCTTCTTATTTAGCAGAGAGTCAATGAGGAAGCTGCTAAATGTTACCTGACTACAATGTATTTCCGGCTTCCACGTGTTCAATGAAAGTGTCTTCTTATTTCAGTAAGTTATTTAGCTTAAACTTAGCCCCAAAACTCTTATTTAGCTGAAACTTAGCCCCAAAACTCTTGTTTGCTTCCCTTTATTTCACTGTTTGCCTCTTCTTCACGCCGGTCCCTGAGATAGAGAGATAGGGGTGGCTATGGACCTGATACCGATGGGTAAGACCCAATACGGATCTAGGTATGGGTTCAAATAATTGGGCTCGGCGGGTCGGGTCTGGATTCAAATCTTGGACCTGAACACTATTCGAGTCCGGGTCTCACATTATATCTTCAGTTTCCAATTTATTATATATATATATATATATATATATATATATATATATATATAGAGAGAGAGAGAGAGAGAGAGAACAAACTAACTATAGTAGTAGTACGTACTACTACTACTATACGTAGTATACTCTACGTATTACTTATC